GGCAGCTGGCGGCCTCACGGACTTGCGATCCGTGCAGATCGCCAGTGCGACCTCTCGCGGCGCGGCAGTCAAGACGAATGGTCCAAGTTGATATGCAACAACTCCTGCAGCTGCGTCACGGAGCAGGGGGAGAAGGGCAGCACTCTGCCGGGCGTGACCTCCCACGTGGGCAGTGACGCTGCTCAAGGTGCCCGACCCGGCAGTCACAAACGGGGACGCCGCAGGTCGCAATCTCGGCAGGCGGGGAAAAGCGTGGGTACTCCCAGCTCATCAGTGGAAGAGTAGACCAAATACACACACCCCCTACTCCCGCCAGTCCCCCCAACACCCGATGCTTAAAAAGGCGCTTTCTTGTCCGACGGTTCGGCTTGGGTCAGGGGATGTCAACGTTGACCGCGAGGTGAGTTGGAGCGAGGTGAGTTGGAGCGACTTCAAGTTCGGCGGTCGACGTTCGGAGCGAGGGCGGCGACCCCCTCCCTCCCTCCCCACCTCCCTCCCCTCCCTCCCTCCCTCCCACCTCCCCAACTCCCTCCCCTCCCTCCCTCTCTTCCCCACTCCCCCCTCGCTTCCCCACCTCTCTCCCCCCCTCTACTCCCCCCCTCCCTCCCCCACCCCCCACTCTCCCCTTTCTTCCCCCCCTCCCTCCCCCCTCCCTCCCCCCTCCCTCCCCTCTCCCTCCCCCTTCCCTCCCCCTCCCTCCCCCTTCCCTCCCCCTCCCCTCCCTCCCTCTCCCACTCCCCCCTCCCTTCCTCCCCTCCCCCCCTCCCTCCCCTCCCTCCCCCACTCCCCCCTCCATTCCCCCCCTCCCCCTTACGTCCCCCCTCCCTCCCTCACCACCTCCCTCCCCATCTCCCCCCCCCTCCCTCCCCCCCTCCCTCCCGTGACCCGTGGATCAAGCGAGGCGACTCGAGACGCAAGCGAGCTGCAGCTGAGAGCGCTCCTCGTGAGCGCTGCCGCGAGAGGCTCGCGGCATTTGGCGCAGCGGCGGCTTCCTCGCCGGCGGCGGCGGCGGCGCGCGACGACGAAATCCCCGCCAAGCTTGGTGGCGTCAGCACGAGGCGAAGCGATTGCAGGGGCTGCGCCTTTAGCGCGAGGCTGCCGCGGTAGGCATGGGGCAGCGTCGTCTCGTGGACTGGCTCAGTGGAGAGCGAGCCGAGCGGCGACCCCATGGACACACAGCCACGTTGCACAGTGGACCTTCTCGTGGGGGACGGGGGGGTAGGGCCCGTGTAGAATACGTTCATTATCACACACAAGGGGGCATGGAATGCCACAATGGAACGTCGTTGTCAGAGCATCATGGGAAATTATGCCTCGCCATCGTCATCATCACCACCATCAACATCACGAACATCATCATCATCAACACCACCACCATCATCAACACCAGCATAATCATGAACACCACCACCATCATCACCACCATCACCATCACGAATATCATCATCATCATCAACACCACCACTATCATCAACACCAGCATAATCATGAACAACACCATCATCATCATCATCACCACCACCATCAACATCACGAATATCATCATCAACACCACCACCATCATCAACACCAGCATAATCATGAACACCACCATCATCATCATCATCACCACCATCACCATCAACATCCGAATATCATCATCATCAACACCACCATCATCAACACCAGCATAATCATGAACACCACCATCATCATCATCACCACCATCACCATCAACATCCGAATATCATCATCATCATCACCACCACCATCATCATCACGACCACCACCACTATCTTCCTCATCTCACTCTATGCGCGCGCCTCGTGTCGAGCCAGGCGATCCCGATCTTCGGTGGAGTCGTCGATGACTTTGGTCAACGGATTCGAGCGCCGCTCCGGGTTTTCGTGCACACGGCAGTGGCAGCATTTATGGCGCGGCGTGCCATAACATTTATAGCAGCCAAACACTGAGAGAGACACGCACTCTCCTCCAAACACACAGCAGACGACAGGGTCGGGATCGAACCCACGACCTCCTGTGTACCAGGCGAGAGAGTTAACATCTCGCCGTGTTTCTCGTGACACCTCTGGTCCACACACGGTAGCGGGCAGCACTGTCCCACCCGCTCTGTCGCATGACAGTCAAACCAACGCGTGGCTTTCACGCGACCACACGTTGTCGCTGTAACGCGGCTCTTCCATTCGCACAACGCGAAGCGCGCACCGGTATAACGCGAAACGCGCACCCTGTAAATAACGCGGATTCTGAGCGGTCGACGACGAACTACTTTCTTGAGCCGCGCGGCTGGGCGGAGTGATACAGTACTCGGAATGATCAACTTCGTCGTTGCGTTCTCGCCGAACGCGTTCATAATGACTTATATACCCAGGGAAGTCACGCAGAGTCCTAGGACTCTTTTTTTCAGGATGGTCCCGCATTGGGGTTTCTGTTGCATTTTAAAGTCGTCAGCCAATTTACGAAGAGTTTTTTTTACACGCGGGAGGAAAGCGGAGCGCCCGGAGATAAAAAAAAACCCCTGCGTCTCCTACGACAGATGGGGAGATGAGCCCACTTGCTGTACTCCCCTCATCCGAGCGAGCCAGGGTACGCCACCTCGCCCAAGCCCACGGGCCAAGGGACATTTCGCGACATTTGCGTGACCCGCCAACCCATCGCTGCCTCCACCACGCTGGGTTGAAGGCCACGTGCACAGCCACCGCTGGCGGCGAGGGGGACACGTCGAGGCCTTCTGTCGACGGGCCAGGGCTGGGTGGTGGTGGTGGCCGTCGTCGGCGAGAGGACGTGTGCGCACCCTCCCTGGCAGGGCAAAGGCTGGGTGGTGGTGGTGGTGGCCGTCGTCATCATTGGCGAGAGGACGCGTTCGCACCCTCCCTGGCAGCGAGCGCGTTCCAGCCAGTGACGGGCTCGGGCAGGGCATGGGGGGGGGGGGGGGGGAGATCAGCAACCCGCAGCCCCAGAGCCGTAGGCGACTGTTTTAAAGAAACCGCCTCGTGACGCTATCCGCTACGGAAGCGCCGTCTCGTATTCATCGTGCGCAGCATCGCGGTTCTTGAAAATATTGATGGGGTGGAGTTAAATCTTTTTTACATGGTTAATAACATCTTTCCAATGATGACTCAGTTTGTACCCATCATCACGGTTGAAGTTATGTCTGTGTTTGTATATCTGGATGGCTTCGTGTACAAACCTTTGATGGTAGCCAGAAGGTTAGCAGAGCACCTTGGTCTCGGAAAAGACAATATCATGAGAGCCCACAGCGTTGTAGCAATGATCAGCAACGGCAGAAGACTCAATTTTGCCGTGTTTCAGATCTGACTTGTGCTCGCGGACACGATCAGAGATATGACGTTTCGTTTCCCTTCAAATCTAGAATTTATGGTGTGTTTTTGTTTTGTTCGTACCGAATTCGAAAAAAAACCGATGGCTCTTCTTGTTATTTTTGGTGTACCGATCTCCCGTGCGAGGACATCTCGTGGACGGCAGCGATGATGCACGTCACGAGTGCGACCTGCAGGTCACTGCTGGGAATTGCACCGCAGTACTGTGGAGGATGTTCAAGCCGTCCTCCATCCTGTCCCAGCTGGGCCAGCACTGCGGGATCACCAAGCAGAGTCTCGGATAGCCACCAAGTGTTAACTTAAAAAAACAAATTACGAGCAACTTTCTTTAACATCTACGGCAAGTCCTCGCTTAACGCGTGTTCGCACAACGCATTTTCACGATGACGCGGTTCTTCCATTCGGCAACACTGTCGCACAACGCCGAAAGCGTCCGTTATAACGTGGAACGCCCAAAGTTATAACGCGGTTTCTGACGAACTACTTTGAGCTCCGCGGCTGAGCGGAGTGATACTGTAAGTGGAACAAGTGATACGACCGCATACCCTCAGTTAGTGCCCCTGCCATCTCGCCAAACGTTACATTCATGGGGAAATTGCTTTAGCGGATAGCGTTTTTCGCTCAACACGGTACTTCTCAGGAACGCACCTACAGCGTTCAGCGAAGACTTATTGTTCATCAAAATACCAAGGACCTTACACAGCTGCTTTGTTGATGCCCAATTGACATGTACAGCAACAGACCTTGCTCACTTAACTTTTCCCACCACTTTCTCTGCTATTCGGAGAGTGGTTTAAGTACATAGGAACAACCCACAATCCCATTCTGCTGCTTGATTTCATTTCATTTTGGGTAGTGATCAACATTCAGTTATTGCCCGAGGTCTACATACTGTTGATCCTTCAATGATAGCTGCACCGACAGATCAACCCCAACATCATAGCCTCCAATGTATGTTGATGCCTTCATTCCTGCAGTACAATTTTCTATAAACTTTTCAATCTTTTTTGTTACCGTGAAGTGCCTTGGTGAAGCGCCCTCATCCGTTCGTCTCGGTGCTCTCATCACGCAATCTGCAGAGCGTTTCCCATCTTCAAAATTGTTTGAACATGTCTACTTAAGATGTATTCATATTCTTTGGTTCTTTCGGTAAAGTCACGTAGATAGAAAAATAAAAAAATAAGTAAATAAAAATAACACTAATGTAGACTGTAGCCTGGTTCTTAATCGGAGTGTACTGGCAATCTATAATGGTTAAGTTTGGTGAGTGTACTGGCAGTCTATAATATAGACTGTAGCCTGGTTAAGTTTGGTGGGTGTACTGGCAGTCTATAATGTAGACTGTAGCCTGGTTATTAACCTTGGTGGGTGTAATGGCAGTCTATAATGTAGACTGTAGCCTTGTTATTAACCTTGGTGGGTGTACTGGCAGTCTATAATGTAGACTGTAGCCTGGTTCTTAACCTTGGTGGGTGTACTGGAAGTCTATAATGTAGACTGTAGCCTGGTTTTTAAGCTGGTGAGCGCAATTCTTAAGAAAGCAAGTGCAGAGTCAATGAACAGAGATGATAAAACAAGAACTACAACCACCCAGCATTTGCAGTTGCATTGATCAGTCTAAACATAATCGATCAGTCTAAACATAATCAGCCAGTCAGCTTGCATTCGAAGGAATTTATTCGTAAATACATTGACGTTTGGACACAACAACTTTGAATTTCCCACGTGAACAGTTGCATTTAGACATTTAATTTCTGTGCCCAAGTTAATTTGTTTTGTAATTACCGTGAGCCCAGGTCCAATCTCGCAAATACAAGTCACCCATATCTCTGGATTTCTCACGAGGCAAAACAAAATCTACCTGGCGTGACTACACATGACAACAGCAAAGCATCTAAATTAGTAAACATTCAAAAGCACCAACCCCTCCTCCCGCACTAATCTACAATAACAAAAAAACATTAAAAAACAACTACTACGATAAAACCAGCTCATTTTACCAAGTAGTTATTAAAACAACTTCTACCCCTTACACTGTAGGTTAATGTGATAAATGTGTTAAATGCCTCTTCAGATATGGGAGGAAAATATGGGCGACTCTGAAAATCAATACTTTGAATGATGGAAGATAATTGAATTCCGCATTACTCTTTAAACATATCACAGAATACAATTAAAATCTCCATCTGCTCTTGAATGCACTTAATCTACTGCTATTAAACACAGGTCCACCGTTTCCAACTTAGCCGACAAAATGTCAGGAAAGTAGCTATTGAAGAACTAGGAGTTAAGTGAAAAAGTGGAAGTGAAATAATCGGTAGCACGCACAGGTTTCCACTGATTAATGTAGTTGAACTTCTTTTGCACTGCAACGTTAGCCAACCGTGGCTAATCGGAGGATTATCCACAAGGACTTTCGGCTAACCATCGAACAAAGATGGTGACTGCATTGCACACTTTCAGATGCGCTTCTGCGGCCATCTGGAATGCTAGTCACTTTAAAAAAATCTGGATTGAAAACTGATTTCTTCAGAACTGCTTTGTGTGTTTAGTTTGTAGTCCTTCCCCCACACCTCCAATTAGCAGGGCTAGCTACGTTCGGCGTGAAAGAAGTTCAACATACATGACAAAACCACGCTACCACTCGCACAGGGAGAATGACCGTGCAGGGTCTGATGAACAATATAACACGCTGACGTGACAAGAGCACTTAACCCATTGCGACGATGTCATTAGGGCACTGGCCGGATGTGAGAGACGTGTATCGGGCATTAATCAACATTTCCAACATGTGGCCCCACTTTAGTAATACATACCAAAGACCTGAAAACGATGACGGCAAAAATTGAAGGAAATTTAATTGGGCTGCACATTTTGCAAATAAACTTGTGCATTGAAACAAGGCCCTCTATGTGGCCTTAGATTTGCTGGCCCCACCACGACCCCTCCCAGCCTTCCGCGTCCCGTACGGACTTTTGCGGACAACGGCGGCCGTTCCTCCTCCCATGACTATGGGCATCTCCACGCTCGCGTTGCTCTGGCTCCAATCGGACGGCATGGTATCCTCAAAAAATGGAAGGGTTTCTGCGGGCAGCGACACCGCCTCTTCCAGGACAGGCGTTGCCTTGACAGCAGACGCCGCCGACTCCTCACCATCTACGTATTGACCTTCCTGAGCATCGCCCTGACCAACAGAGCCAAGAAACGATTCTTCTTCTGCTGCCGGTGCGGTGGCGGCGCAGTCTCCGTAGCTCACTGCATCTTCGCCGTCGTCAACAACAACTCCATCTTCTCCGAGATCGGCCTCCTGCGTTTCTGTTTCCAAATGGTCAAAAGGGGGATTGGCCACATCTTCACCTGAAACACCGTCAGCAGTGGCACCCTCCGACAACTCGGGCTCCCCAGCCGCAGCCTCTGCGAGCTCGTCTTCTTTCAGAAGATCATCGTCGGCATCTTCCTGTGCAATGCCTTGCATCTCTGCCTCATCAGCGGGTGTCTGCTCAGAGCTCTGCGGCGTAGCCAGCTCCGCTGCTGCCTCCCCGACTTCTGCATCATCTTTAGCGGCTGTTTCTTTGCTGGTTTCTTCGCTGACCACTGCCACTGGATTCTGCTTCTTGCCATGGCCGGAGAAAATGAAGAGGTGTTCATATTCGGGGTTGTTAAAGGGTTCTTTGCCCTGGAAAAAAAGAAAGGAAATGATATAAATTAAAAGTCCATCAATGAGTGTCGATCCTAGATTGTGGCACAAACAAACGCAAAAAGAAATGTAGGTGCACTGCACAACTGCACATCCCACACATTCTTAAACTTCTCATGTAATTGGTAACACCACAAATGTAGCAGCAGAGACACAACTGTGCCAGGGTGGTGTTAAAGTTGCATACATTTGATTAAGCTTGTTCATCCAGAAAAGCCTCACAAGTTGCTGAAATTTGTTAATGTAGATTATCGGTGAGTGCGAAGATGCGTGACTATGGGTGGGGTTAAGATGGAGTCTAACCCTGTCCCGCGAGAATCTGAGCCCTGAGATGCCTCAACCCCCCTTCCAGGGCAGGTCAAGGCCATTTCTAATTCAGGGTAGGGAAAAGGATCTCTAAACTATTCTACCATTTCAACTAAACTAATTTTAATTTCACCAGGTAAGGCCCACCGAGCTATGGAGCTCTGATTCAGAACCAACCTGGCTACAAATGATAGCTCAACCAAGTGGCTTATCAAGTGGATATTTATAGCACCCAAATACTCTAAAGTCATGTTTCCAAAATAAGGACAGAAAAACCGGAGGACCGAAGAATAATACACGTGACCACGAGGAAAGAGACATGCAAACTCCAACTATACACATGCATTGTCAGGGTCGGGATCGAACCCACGACCTCCTGTACACCAGGTGAGGGAGTTAACATCTCCTCGCCACCATGGTGCCCCATCAGCACTGCCACATGATCAAGTGGAGCAGCAAAACTGGCGTGTAACCATTACTACTACGACTACCGTTACCCTGCGTACCCAGGAAAGTCTGAATCTTGTGACTCTCATGTTATTCACAGATGCCACGGTGCCGTGGCAGCACCCTGTGGCAGCTGTGAATAATTTAACAATATAAAACTTAGTACGGGGCTTTAATTTCGATGTGCTACGATGGAATTATGGGTACGTAGTAATACATTTTGAATCAATAGATCGACTGAAGCTGGGGAGCATGGCGAATTAAGTACGCAAGAAAATGAATAACTGGGAGTTAGCTAATGCAAGGTTCTTGAGTGAACATCATGGACAGAGCTAAATGGAAGGCCTTGATTGGCGATTATTTGAGAGAGGACACGGCTCAACAGAGACAGTGAGATAATAGATTGTTTGGTTTTGCCACGGAATGATTTGGCAAAATGTCTTTGCAAGACCTTCCAAAACACAACACAGCCAAACAAATAAAAAATGTGAAGCGTACATCAACGCGTCGATTATCATTGTTTTAGTTAAGACGGTAACTTGAAAAACCTCGCATCCAAATTTGGCAATTAGATACGACGGTGTTTCGCTTGAAATTGCACCAAACATCTTCAGCACAAATCCCATATTTAAAGTCAGAATAAAACCATCAATCATGACGAACTACAATATTGCCTGTGAAAACATTCGTGATATTATTTATTATTATAGATTTCTGGGTGCGGCCACCGCACGGAATTTAGAAGTGACGAGTGGTGAGCGTGTGGATGGCCCCGTTAGAGAGCCTAACCGTGAATCCAACCTTTGTTGTCCAAGCAGCTGTGTACACGACACGCTAATGTGTCGAGGTGATCCAAAGTGCACACACCTCTTTGAAGTGCTTGAGGAGGACGGAGTTGTTATCGTTTCCCAGAATGCTCTTGGCAACAGCAACCACCACAGTCTTCCTTTCAGTCACGTACACCTTTGAAAAGAGACAAGCAGGAACTCTCATTGAGATTCAATCGATAGATTTTGGAAGAAACAAACCAAGCTATTTTTATTTCACCAGGTAAGGCCGACTGAACCATACAGCTCTTTTCATAAGCGACCTGGCCGTAAACTATAGCTCCACGAAGGGGCTTATCATGGTGGAAATTTATAGCGACCAAACTCTAAACTAATGTTTCTAAATGTGGAGGGAAAAAACGGAGGACCCGGAGAAGAATCCACGTGACCACGGGGAGAGAGACATGCAAACTCCAACTATAAAGGCATCGGGATCAAACCCACTAGCTCCTGTATACAAGGCGAGGCAGTTAACATCTCCCCACCGTGGTGCCCCTGAACTGGAAAAAATATTAACTGGAAAAGTAAACTTTGGTAAGGAAAAGTTATAGTATTTAAAAATTGGTTTAGGGTGCCTTTTTATTTCGCATTAGGGCTGCGGCAGGAAGTCAACAACCTGGAAAAATAATCCAAGCGATTTAATTTACAGGAATCTCCCACTGCAACTTAGAGCATGGGGCTCCTGCACAAGTTAATTTACTGGAAATTTAGTGTCTACCCGAGGCATCGAAGCCACCATTCTCATGGCTTGCCAGAATAGGCAGCACATCAAGTGGATTAATTTCCATCCGCAGTGTGCTAACCATAAAGCCACAGCGTCCCATACTCACACACCAATTTATTCTGCTGGTGCTCCGGAGATTCAAGGTGCTGAGCCACCATTGAAAATGTGTACGGCACAAACATATTGCAGGCATGACACTGCACTGCTGTTCTCATCTCCAGTGCTTCATCCAGGACGATTGCTTCTGCACACACGCGCACAGACACACAAAACGATGGTTTGCACTGCTGAACCAGTACAAGGCATTCACGGCACATTTTTTCCACCGGCTATTTGCAGAACCAGTCAAAATCAAAACACGTGAAATGCCGGCCTAACAAGACGACATACGTGAATCTGGTTCGGGACCCCGTAGGTGTCGGGGCCGGGGTTGACGATGCATTTATTGCGTGTGCGATGTTAGTCATTGCAACGCGAGGACAAAGCGACAACGCATCCTGCCAGCCTTTGCAACACATTACGCCACTGAACCATAGAACCAACCTCTTTCTGCTCGCTTTGTAGTCCGCGTGAAGATGTCGTCACTGTTGCCAAGGACGCACTTAGATTCGTTTCCCCGCCTCATAACAAAGTCGGCTTTCCTCCAGATTAGCTTCTGCATACGTCCGGCAACATGGTAGAAAATTGGACACAAGAGATCCTTTAGAAAACTCACACATTTGAAGGTAGTAACACTGAAAGGTCTGTGCGGACAAGTTAACTAAAGCACTTGCTGGGCAGGTGAGTGGCTGGGTGGGTTTTGTGGGTCCATGAGTGGCTGGGTGGCTGAGTGGATGTTGTGGTGGGTGGGTGGCTGAGTGGATGTTGTGGTGGCTGGGTGTATGAGTGGATGTTGTGGTGGATGTGTGTCTGAGTGGGTGTTGTGGTGGCTGAGTGGGTGTTGTCGTGGCTGGGTGTATGAGTGGATGTTGTGGTAGATGTGTGGCTGAGTGGGTGTTGAGGCAGAGCAGCTGGATGATTGACTGGTTGGGTGTCACTGTGGATGGCTGGCTGCTGTGGTGGGTGGCTGGTTACACTGACATGCAGGAACTTGGAGACATCCTTGTCAAACTCCTCTTCAAGGAAAGAGAGCGACTGTTGGTGGTACACACTCTCCAAGTGGCCCTTGATGAAGAACGCTTTGTTCGTGCGGATCTGGCAGAGGCTGCAGCCATACTGTGGCCTGAGTAAGAAAACAGGTGTGGGGAAACAAGTATCAATAAATAGTTGTTATTAATCTGCCCAATAAAGAACAAGGCTAAAAAGTCTAAAATTATTGTTATCGATTGGGGTGTTTGGTCAGTTTTATTAACGACTACAATTGTGGGAGGAAATCAAGGTAAATGGACATAAACAAAATGGGATCATATTCATAGATCGGCACAGATGGTTTCACATCCACTTATTTATATACTGGCGTCTCCCCGTCAGCTCGCAGCCCAGTGGGTCTCGAACTCTCCCGTCCACGTGATACACCTCACCATGCCTCCAGAGAACTGGGGACTACAGGAATGCACCATCGCACCCGGGCCAATAAAAAAAAACCCAAGGAGGAAGAATTATGCAAATGCGTGGACTGTTCAATGCTCTCCGACATGCATTCATCCGCTGAAGTATATATTTAGTGATAATGTTAAGTCTCAAGCTGTACGTCACTCGTCATCAGGACGTCACATTGCATACGACGTTACCGCCATGGCAAGCAAGCCGACATATTTTTGGTGCCGGATTATTGCCAGGTTTCGGGCAAACCTTCAATCAATTTAAACTTGAGGTAAGTCTACTCTGCATGCCATAGCGAAAGTTATTTGTGTTCAGTACAATTCACCTGGTACTGCTGGAATATAGCAAATTGGTTTGACCTTTTATGTTTCTGCACTAGGAGGCAGACACAGCGATAGCGCGTTCACTGACTGTTCGCAGAGATTCGTGGTTCGAATCTAGCAGGCGGCCCTGATTAACACTGCAAGTGTAATTCCCATACAATAGGCACCACTGCCCACTTCAGTGGATGAAAGAGCCTGCGATGTTATTTTCGATTTAGTGTAGGCCATTGTGTGCAATCGTTGCCCCTACCACGAACACATAGCAGGACCCTCCTGCAAAGTTTTGGGGAGACTCTTTCAAGTGCGTGCATGCATATATATGGTAAAACACATGTTTCATGCCAATTGTGGTTGTTGTACTTTCTCCAAGTCCATCTTAAAAAAAAAGCGTGACAATTGTGCTTATGCCACATACAGTATAATTAAGTGACTGGGCAACCAAAGGCCTCCAATCACAACCCATCCGAGGTTTGCAGTTCGAAATCGGGCTGGCCACCCTGATTAACACTGAGAGTGAAATAATCATATAGAGTCACAACCCATTTGAATAAGATGCAAGACTCACTTTTTGGTACCTTTCATCCAGTTGACATGCAAAAAAAGCAAAGCAAAATGTTAATCTCTGCTCACAACATTCATGATCTTCATTCTGCCAAGGCAGGGTATGGCTTAGGACATGGTAAACTAGACTCCCATGGTCAGGGGGTCACAGCAATCAATATAACAAGAGGAGCCATGTTTTTCACATTCGGTAAAAGATACCCTCAATATTTCAAAAGCCGCAATGCAGTCCCTTTAATTAAAAAAGCCGCGTGTCTCCGAAGCTGCCGCTCGTCGACCCCTGGTTAAGGCGGCGATACAGGAAAGTGCCGACTGATATTATCTGTTCCTTTTCCCACATGCACTCATTAATTGGCCGAAAACATCTGAATATAGAGGACTGCAAAGCTTGGGCAATTGTTGGAAATACCAGCTCACTGCTTGGCTGCTGCCTTCCAGCTTGTGAGATGCAATTTGCATGAACGACACCATCCAAATCTAAATATATTTTCATGATAATAAGACAACAGGAGGGTAACAAATGACCATGTCTGGCACAGTAACGAGACTTGAGTGAACGGATTGCTTGTTTGAAGAAACTTTAACCACACCCACTGACCATTGAATAAAATGTAATTTCCTTGAAGTGGTTATACGGGCGAGGTGGCTCAGTGGGAAAGTGAGCAGCCCCCACATCTAAAAGCTTTACGTTAATATCCTGGTTGGGGGGGGGGGGGGAATTTGACTAAGCCCATCTTCCCTCCGTTGGTCGACAAAACAAGTACCAATATGGGGAAGTCAACAGTCGTTGTTCTGTGGGTAAGATTTGCCCCAACCCCCGATTTGTTACCACCGACTCAGGACTGTCAACAGGAGAGGAGCACCAACAACTCAATGCTCATTTGAGTAGGAAAACACCGTGTGAACATATTGGCAGAACACCTTTGGTGTGCGGTATAAAAGCACATTTTTAGTAATAATTATTTTCCCACGATTCGCAATCGCAGTCAGAAAATGTTGTAAGGTGGTGGTGCGTCAAAATCAGTTATCGTGATGACCAAACAGCCGGAAGACGAATGTTTTTACGAGCGGCTGAACACAAAGCTTCACAATCTGTTGCCGTATAGAAGCACCCAGCCCGATGACAAATTGGCTGCTCCGTGCTCCAAAGGCAGATTTGACTCCTCGTGTCCTATGCTTGGTCGCGACGGTTCCTCTATTCGTTTCCGGAATAATTTATTGGTGGACGGTGGCATCAGAAAAGTACGACTCGTGGCGTCACCGCACGTTCGAATGGGAAAGCTGCTGCTGAATCTAAGGCAACTTCTGATGGGAGAATGTGCAGCTCACTCAAGGGCAACGGCGACATCGTAAGACTGTTTTACGAGGACCGGTGTGTTATGCTACACCCGCGTGCCGCTAATGCGTCCATGTATTGACTCGCCTAGCGTTTGGTGTGACATGGCCCACGCTAGTAATGCAAACACAATACCTTTGCGTCTAGGGCCCTTGGGTTTCGTTGACCACAGTCCTCCAAATATACTGGTGGTTTCACTCTCTGGTGCTGAAAAAAACAGTGCAATGGGTTACATTTCATCTAGATTGAATTGTTAAAGATAATTTAACTTATTAGAGTCATTCTTATAGCCATACAAAACAACTCAACATATGTTACTCTGTAAGTTAAACTTGTAAATGTCAATATTGGAACTTTGAATCATCTGAACTGCAGACAAATTACTTGAACATTTGTGTAACTGATGATGAACATCCACCAGCCAAAAGGGTATGTAAGGCTGGAAACATTTCATAAGAATAATAAACAAAGTTTTAAAAGAAGGCGTAAGACATGGCACAATAATCATGGTTTCAAAAACTCCAGGGTGCTAATTGCAGTCAAGTGCCAGCTCAGATCTCCATATCCCAACAAGTCAACCAGTTTCAGGGGAAATATTTTACTCGACTGCTCTGTGGCTCAGTGGGACGTGGCTTGAAGGGGCCGTAAAAAAAAACATTTCCCCAAACCTGATTGGCGGCTCATTGGATACGATGATCTGAGCTGGCAATTGACTGCAGTTCGGCCCCCCCCACAATAACTTTTGAAACACAGAAAAGTGTTTTAAAATGCATTGCATAACAGTAAGTCGCAGGAAGTATTGCATGTGGAAATGACACGAGTAATAATCCATCTCCCTTGCCTATCCTGCTACTGCTACTCCATGCCCGGCCCGCAGCTACGACTAGGCAAACACTCCCCCTACCACTATCCATATCACTACCCCTATCACTACCAACCCTGATCACTACCCCAAGCCCTCATACACTCCGACCTGTCTTCCTTGCCGTCACCATAACGACACCACCACTTTTAATAACCCCACTATTTATTCTCACCACTATTATCAAATGTACAATTTTATGATTGCAAAGCACCTTGGACTAAGGCGCTATATAAAATCTATATGACAAGACCTGGTCATGGCTATCAGCCCAAAATAGTCAGAAAGGTGACCTTTAATTTAGGACAGCAATGGAACTGGGCAACTGCGTACAAATTTCATCGCGATTGAGCCTCGTCACAACACACGAGCCATCACTGCCGACTGCAGACATTTGTGCCAGAGGGAATTGTGTTGGCCAGCCCTCTCCCTTTGTGCCGTGGGTACAACTTGGCAGAATGCTATGAAGACAAATTTAAGAAAACCCACCATCCAAACAAAATGTTTGCAGTCTGGAAACGAATAATAATACATGTGAAAAGGTGTTTTAAGATCGGAGAACAGAAAATCCCAGCTTGTTTGTAAGATGCATCACAACTTGTAACCACTGCCAATAATGGAATACACATCTGGTCACACAATTATTAGTCATACCCCCAAACATTTTTCTTTAAAATATGGGGAAAAAGTGCATCTTGTAATTGTGGGTGCACCGAGCGTACAAAATCAACGTCACAGATCCCCTCACGTCGCCGTTCGGAACGAGGCCATTGTGTGCCATATTCATGGTCCAAATGTCAACATTACCCTCAATTTGCTCAACTGTAATTGCCGGCAAGTCTATAAGGCATGCGATAGCCCTGCACCATAATAACGGTGCGAATACCAAATGTACTAATTTATCAATGCTGAAACGTTCTTATATAGATTAACTCGCCCATCCACTGAAAATGAGTCGTTCTCGGATCGCGCGTACTTACAGTGATCTTCAAAATCTGGTTTTTTTGGCCAACGGCTGCTCACCCTGGGTCAGTTTCCTCTTCACTGCGCCTCCAGATTGCTGTGCATTTGTCACCCCGGTTGCCTCTCCGGTCTGCATCACCACAACAGGTCAGCTCTTAAACCATCCTCTCTCGACTTGCACCAACACATTGGCAGCAACACGAAACAAACATAATTAACAAGCAACTGATGGAACATCCCAGGCAAGACCACGGGAAATTGATTCAGCAGGGATTTTTCCTGCATACACAAATATTGCCAAGGTTTTACAATTTACTTTTTCGTGAAATTACGTGATACGATATACAATTTACAGATGTGACGACTGTCCTGTTATCCGTTCACATAACTATGGAATTGTATTTCACATTTTATATTGTTTTTGTCTAGCTGTACAGCAAGATGTCGGAAACGTTCTTCGACTGAAGTTCACTCAACAAAATCCTGCCACAGGCCTGCACATTTACAACCTGCAACACCGACAGAGGCACATGCCGTCACTGTTATACGTCAAAGAAGTAATGACATACACTACACAAATTATGACGTGATACAACGACCACGTCATCAGTTACTCCTAATAACATTTAGAAAAGCACCAATTTAAAAGATATTGACATTTATAACTTGAATTAATGCTTGAACTGCCAGAAAGTATTTGTCTAAATACATTTATAAAAGGAACATAAACCACGATTTGTCGATATTTTGCACATCCAGCCGATACGATCATCGTGGATCTACTTGTTGTACGTATTGTAGCATAAAAATAACGCGGCCAAGCAGCAGCATTACCGTTGTTACGGAAATGCAACTGGAGGGAAACGCCGTTGGAAAAACCCAGCGGGAAACACCCGACCCCAAACCAGTGTCAAAACACTCGCATACGACAATAACAGCGGCGCAGAAAAATGTAACAAGCGATGTTTTGGGCATTGGCTCTTCTTGACAGCACGCATGTAAAACTCTTGAGCTGTGAATAAGGGTCATTGCCCGAAATGTCACCGATGATATACTTACTTTTTTGTTTTGTCCGGCCAGTGTCATTGACAAATGTATTGAATGTTCGTGTTATTTGTGCTTGTGCCCCACTGGTAATGCAGCGGTATTACCAAATAATGTTTAATCGGTGGCAACTATTTTCCAAGGTAACAAGTGCAACTATTATATGTTAAATTTCGATTTAAAGCTTTCGTGACTGCAGGGATTCATCTTCTTGGTTCGTTCGGTAAAGTCACGTAGAAGGGAAGTAATAAAATAATAAAAAAAACATAATAAAATAAAATAATTCTCACGACGTTTCGGCTACAACGCAAGCAGCCGTCTTCAGGTGAAGAATGAGACACTACCAAGCTAGGAGCTTTATATAAGCTGCGTTGGGGGTGGAAGAGCGCCTTAACAAAAAGAATGTGCATATGAAGAGAAATTTAGCATATTCATGGAAAATGCGTAGGAGGTGGGCGGGGGGGTTTCAAAGTCATATTATGCCCATGCATTATGCAGGATCAGCAGCACCAAGGGGGGGTGCAGTATATAGTACGGTATATGCTCGTGTGATGTAAGAGAATAAAGTTTAGATGGAAGCATATTATATAATTTTTACGACGTAGAATTGTAATGTATTACTTGCTGTTAGTAACTCAGCTTATTGTAGAGTATAGTAAGCATACTGATGGTGCTATGCAGTTTATACTTTAGTTTTTAATGTAGTTTATACTTTAGTTTTCTACGTGGTTGTTGAGTAACTGCAGCTACATATCATTAACATTCCTTTCCTTTGTTACTGCTAATCCCTGCACCCCCCCTTGGTGCTGCTGATCCTGCATAATGCATGGGCATAATGACTTTGAAACCCCCCCGCCCACCTCCTACGCATTTCCCATGAATATGCTAAATTCCTCTTCATATGCACATTCTTTTTGTTAAGGCGCTCTTCCACCCCCAACGCAGCTTATATATAAGCTCCTAGCTTGGTAGTGTCTCATTCTTCACCTGAAGACGGCTGCTTGCGTTGTAGCCGAAACGTCGTGAGAATTATTTTATTTTATTATGTTTTCTTTTTTATTTTATTACTTCCCTTCTACGTGACTTTACCGAAAGAACCAATAAGATATTATATGTTAGTTGATCAGTTGATACCTGAATTAACTTGTGAATGGTAAACTCGACTGTGGGATAAAAAAAACTAGTGGAGGTCAACAACCTCACAGTGTACTTGGCCAAGGCCTCTGTAAACATTCTAACAAGGTCTATACGAGACACGTTTCAAACGTATCAAGTGATTGCAAGCGTCTTCATCGAGTGCTCTGCCAGGTTTCTTGGTTCAAGCTCCCTCCGCCCAGTCTGAACCAGAGTTCTCAGTTTTTGTTAAACAGCCTTTCTTAAAGTCACCTCACAAGCACGTTTCCTTGTTCTACCTCTAGGCCGGTTTCCACAACATAATTTCTTCTACAGCTTCGTCCAGGAAGCCGTTCCCCTCAGCAAAACGCTCAATCCACATCGTTTGCTTTCTCCAAATTGTCCCAAATTCACTTCTCACCTCCTGACCCAGGCATCTAGCACTTTCT